CACCTATTTTGGACAAAATTTCGGCATGACTTCTGATCGGAAGAGTTTCTAAAGTTCTTTATATGCAGGGTTTTAGATCTAAGAATCAAGGTACCCGAATTGTCCTTGTTAGTGCCCCCTTGGGTTACTAACCCTCAATCCTAGTCCATCACAGACTAAAGTGGATCGAGTTCAATTCGAGGGGATACATTTCTCTATGCCTGACACGGAGAATAAATTCTCACGAAGACAGAGAGCATATGAACCCCGGAAGTTACTTGCTAGGTCTGACACGGAGAATAAATTCTCACGAAGACGTCGCTTTCACTCCCACTTAACAGGGACAACTCAATTATAGAGCTTTATGTTATGCAATGCAAGTGTTGTGTGTGAGGAGAAATGTTCAAACCTTTGACAGAAAAATAAATACTGAAATAAAATACTTGCAAATAAAACATATAAATATTATAAAAATAATAAATAAATAAAAATTTGAAAAGAAAGAATTAAAAATTAAATATATGAACTTTTAATTTTTAATTAATAGAGACAATTTATAATTGATTTTAAAGTTTGACCACGTCCCCAGCGGAGTCGCCAAGCTGTCGTAACCGGTTTTCGTCCGGGCACGAAATATTATAATTGACTGGGAAATTGATGTGAATAAATGGTTTTGAAAATAATTTGGGAGTCGCCATCGGCCTTTTGGTCAGGTAGGTCGAATACCTAAAAAATATCTTTTAAAAGAGTTTTTAAGAAAACATCAATTAAAAGATAAACTGATATGCGTTTTAACCAAAAATTCGTTCTTTTTTTTTATAATAAAAAGGGATTCGTGGTCGGTTACATTTAGGGAAGGATTAGCACCCCTACAACACCCAAAATTGGTACTTTTTAATTATAAATTGTCTCTATTATTAAAATTTAAAAATTCAAAATATATTTAATTTATAATTTTATTATTTCAAAATTATATATAAAAAATATTTATTTATTTTAAAATATCAGAAAAGAACTTCTAGGTGCCTTAAGACAGCTCTTTTCTTTGATATTGATAATATTTTTTATATATTTTTTTTTTATTTTAAAATACCAGAATAGGACATCCAGTTGTATTAAGACTGTCCTTTTCTTCGATATTGAAAAATAAATATTAAAATAATTTATTTAAAATAAATATTTATTTATTACATATATATTATGACTATAATAAAAATATTTAAATATATATAAACAAGTAAAATAAAAAATACAATTATAGCCATATATTTAAAAGCAATAAACAATACTTAAAATAAAGGACTAAATATAGTAAAATTAAAAATAAAAAAACCAATTCATAATTAATCAGAATTATGAGGATTAAACATGCTATTTCTTATTTAATAATTTAATGACTAAAATAAAATTATCTAAAATTAGGATATTATAATAAAATAAAATAAAAATATAAACTAGGGATTAAAATATTATTTATTAAAATTAAGGGATTAAATCTGTTATTATCCTAAATATATTATTTTAATATAAAGGACTAAATAAATGAAATTAAAATTAAAGATCTGAATTGAAAGTATTATAAACTCGATTAGTGACTAAAATGTAAAGTTTACAAGTTTAGATGGCTGCGGAAATGATTTAACTATTCTTTAATTACACGAATAGCCTCCCCAAAACGACGTCGTTTGGGAAGGGCTATTTAATGCCCGAGACAGCCGGCCCTTCGGGCCATCTCTTTCATTTTCAATTTCATTCTCTCTCTAACTGAGAGAGAATGAACAAAGCTCTCCCCTCTCTCTAGCTTCCCTCACGGAGGGAAGCCGGTCACCAGACGGCAACCATCTGCCGCCGTGACCGTCACCGCCGGCCACCGCATCCGGTGGCCGGAAAATTTATTTTTATGCTATTGGGTAGATCGGACCGTCCTAAGGACGGTCCGGTGTTCTCTTCCCTTAAAAGCTCTGAATCGGAGCGAATCTATAAAAATACCTTCGGCGTTTCGAAGGTTCTGGCGAGATCCGGCGACGGTTGGGGTTCTCCGATGACAGTAAGCTTCTTTCCTCTCTTCTCTCCTTTTTTTTTCTTGCTGCGTTGATGTTGACTGAGATCGTTGGTATATTTTTAGTATATTTTTTTTCTCTGTTTTTTTTTTTCTCCGTCTCTCTGTGTTCTCTGTCTCTCCGTTTTTTTTTCTGTCTCCGTTTCTTTTTTTTCTTTCAGGTTCGGGTGGTGGCTTTTATAGCCACCACCGGTGTGGCCATCGGACCGGTCCGAAGAGGGGGTCTCGGTGAGTCACCGGACTACCAGTGGTGACTCACCCCGTAGCCATGGCGTGGACGGCTGGTGTTCTAGCTTCTGGAGTCTTCGGTTGGGACGTGCAGCGGCGGAGGCGGCGAAAGAGTGTCGGCAGCCGCGTGGAAACTGGGGCGGCGCCGCGTGGCCCTAGGGTATCAGACCCTAGGGTTTCTTCTGGAGTAATCTGGACCGTTGGATCTCTCAGATCCAACGGCTGTGATGAGGCGGCCGACTAGATTAGGGTTAGGAAACCCTAACTGGAACCCCAAATGTTTAGGGTTTCTGGTTTGATCTGGACCGGTTCTGGTTTGTTTGTAACTGGGCCGGTCCAGTTGTAATTGGTCTGTAATTATTTATTTATATATATATGTATTTAATATATATTAATAATAATAATAATAATGATAATAATAATAATAATAATAATAATAATAGTAATAATAATAATATGGATAAAAATTAGTATCTTCACGGTTTGTGAGATAGCGAAAAAAATAGTAGAGAAATTCTACTATTTGGATTTGTGTATTTGATAAATTTAAATTTACAAGAGATGGGTATATATAAGATTACAAAAGAATCTTAATCCTATAAAGGTAAGCAAAGTCAAATGCATACACGAGGTAAGATTTATACAAGGTATACTTAGATTGATTATAATTTGTAATTAGATTAGATTAGATTGAATAATATAATCTAATCTTTATCTTTGATAATGGCTTCATCTTCACATGTCACACCATGGATCTGTCAAGCCTCTTACACACTAGTGTTCAATGAGCAAGAATGTATAATAACCAGACTTCCCAAAGCACACTGGATTATTCGGCAATAGCTGCTAATATTAAATGGAATCCACCCCCTTCAGGTTGGATTTGTCTCAATTCGAAAACATCTGTTTCACAAACTACGGGTGCTGGTTCCATTGGTGGAGTTCCACGTGATTATGAAGGTTTGCTTTTGTTGTCTTTTGCTAGGAACATCGAGATTACAACCGTTCTTCAAGTCGAGCTGTGGGGATCCTTGATGGCTTAAAGTTGGCAAAACGTAACAACATCAACTATCTCATTGTTCAGTTTGATAATGCTGATGCAATAAAGCTATTGTCTCCTCCATATTCTCAGTCTGTTTCCTCTTGTTCGCTCCATGGCCCTTCTTTGCGAGAATGATTGGTAGGTTAATTTCATCCAGATTTCGCGCGAAGCCAACATGGTTGCTGACTATCTTTCCAAGATGGACTACCCTCATGATTTATTTGTTCATGCACTCTCCTCTCCTCCTATGGTTTTGGTCCATTTATTGCATAGAGACTTGTTTGGCCCTCCCTATATACGTTTAGGGAGTTTTTAATGTAACAGCTTTCTTATTCTAAGAAAAAGAAGGAAATTATTCAACATCATTTTCTAAATTACTGGTTGAAATCTGATTCAAGCGTGGTCGAACCTGTTTGTAAGTTCGGATCATTATTAATATAAAGGCTTAATATTTAAAATAACCCTCAAGCTTAATAAAATTATCATTTTGGACTTTTTACTATTTCACAACTCTTATTCCGTGTATAACGTTGAGGGAGAAAATATTCAATTTGTTCTCTAAGATACCAATTTGCAGTTGTTATTTATTATTACAAAATTAAGAATAAAGTTTAACAAATCATTTTCATTTAACATTTGAGTGTACTCTAACAAGCACACATGGATTGCCCACCAATCTATTTTCCTCAGTGCCTAACAATTCAATAAGAAAAGTTCATCACAATTACATCTTGTTCTCAAAACCTTTTGTTTCTAATTTTAGTCCTCAAATAAATGCTTGAGATTTGCTTCCATGTTTACATTTGGAGACGTTAGGGTTGTTTCCTTAACAACCATATTTTTTTAATGATCAAATTCTATTACTAGTCCTTATAATGTGCACAAATTATAGATTTAGTTCTTATACTCTTATTTGATCTATTTTAGTCCATGTACTTTTTTAAAAAAATTAAAATTTCAATTCTGAATCAAATAATTCGACGACAATATAATTAAATTAGAGGAGCTAATTCAAAAACATGAACTAAATCTATAACTTACAGGTAATACAAGACTAACAACAGTATTGGACTTAACATATTTCATGACTACGGTTTGAGTACGTACCAAAATGTTAACATTTGAAAAACACATTACCTAAAATGATAAAACTTCAACACAAGGACTAAATCCTAACTTTTGTATGGTACATGAACTAATAGAAGAAATTGATTCTTTAATCATTTATTTGAAGTTCCACAATAATATATATTTAATTAAATTGGTGTAAATCGATCCGTAGTGCTAACTAGTTAAACTAATTTGACAAATATAGTTCAGTTTGAAAATCACCTTTATTTAGCTTTTCTAAAGTTCATAGGACTAGCAACTTCTTGCCCCCTTCCTATTTTCAAGTTCAGACTAAATCCTAACTTTTGTATGGTACATGAACTAATAGAAGAAATTGATTCTTTAATCATTTATTTGAAGTTCCACAATAATATATATTTAATTAAATTGGTGTAAATCGATCCGTAGTGCTAACTAAATTATAACTAATTTTGACAGAATATAGTTTCAGTAAAGGCATCACCTTTATTTAGCTTTTCTTGCCCCCTTCCTATTTTCAAGTTCAGTAGGACTAGCATGTTCATACATTAAAGTTACATAATTAAGCAATCCCATAGAACAAATCTCCCACGTTTTTTTGTTTTCTCGTGAAATGAACAAATCAACAAAAAAAACAATATTTTTGTTGTAATGCATGTTTAAAAAGGGCGGTAGATAATTGAAAGTGAAGCAGAAGATTGGCTTGGCCTTTGGGTATCGTTTTACTGAGAACCAAAGCCGTAGGAGAGTGATAAAGGAAGAAGCTTTTTCGAGAGAGAAATAATGGGGGGAGGAGGAGGAGAAGGAGATGAGGGATCGTTAGAGTACACTCCAACATGGGTTATAGCAGTAGTTTGTTTTGTGATTATTGCCATTTCTTTTGCTATGGAACGTTTACTTCATCATTTAGGGGATGTTTTGAAAGAGAAACAACAGAAACCGCTCTACGAGGCTCTTTTGAAAGTCAAAGAAGGTAACCCTTTTTGTTAAATGTGTTTCCATTGGGAAATTGATTTGTAGTTTCCGGAATTGTTAACTTCAAAAAGAAGGATTTTTTGGTTTTTTTTGTTGGCAGAGTTGATGCTCTTGGGGTTTATATCACTGTTGTTGACAGCATTTCAGAGTGCAATTTCTAAAATTTGCATGTCAAAGGATCTACGTAAAGACATGCTTCCTTGCAGAGTTAACCGCCATTACCATGATGATGATGATAAGGCCGGCCATAATGGTCACAAATTAGAAATCTATTTTGCTTCTGGCACCCGGCACCTTCTGAGCGCAGATTCATTAAATGCGGACAGATACTGCAGTTCCCAGGTAATATATATTCAAACATGACCAAATAAAATGTCTTTTTTACTGTTATTCATGTTAGAGTTTGCCTAGGATTGTTTCTTTACTTGCTGAAATGAGGAAAAACAAATTTTTGTCATCGGTTACACAGGAATTCATGGTGAGAGTAATACTATGGTTTAGGATCACATGTATGACCTTTCTTATTTAATACATTACTGCAGTTTCTGGCTCCTTTTTTTTCATTGAAAAGCCAAACTTTAATTGATGTACTCTTAATCTCTTATCATTTCCATATGTTTTATGTTCTTTAGAATAAAGTACCATTGATGTCCCTTTCGGCTCTTCATCATCTACATATTTTTATCTTCGTCCTGGCCATTGCCCATGTCACGTTCTGTGTTCTCACAGTTTCTTTTGGAGGGCTTAAGGTAATCTATCTACTATATATATCATTTGCTTAATTTTCAACTTTTGGAGGCCTAAAGGATGTTGTTTGTTGATGTAGATACAAAAATGGAAACAATGGGAAGATGAGATTGCGAAAGAGAATTATGATCAAGAGAGACGTAAGGATTAATGCTAATCTAAAGCTCCCTGTTTTGTCCATGATATCTTTTCATTATTAGATGCATATTAGGACCTGAACATTTGAGATGCCGGTCACTACTTATCTATGTTGGTCCAACTTTTATTATTTTTCTCTTGAAGTACCCATTTCCAACACATTTCCGAACATGGATTTCAATCTACTGTATTGTGGCTCGTGCTTCTGTACGATGTTCACATCCATGTGTCTTGGGTAATATAGCTTATGATAGACTATTCAATATATGTCTGCTTTAAAGTTGTCTGCTGCTTCGGTTTCTTTTTCTTACTTTGGTGGTTCTGACTTATACATTGTGTTATTGCAGAGTTGGAGAAAAAATTCATTCATGTCCAGCAGCATGATTTTATCAAACATCGTTTTCAGGGTTTCGGTAAACGTTCAGTTCCTCTACGGTGGTTGGTAAGCTGCTATTTCATCTATGATACATTCTTTTTACCATTAACATCTGTAACAACTGAACCTAATATGAAAGAGGTAGACCTTAAAGTTCCTTCTATGTTACTTAGAATCGGGTGTGTTCGATTTTTCCCAAGTTTTTCCATGTCTTTGGAGGGTCCTTGAAAGACCATATTCAATACCCCTGCCAGAAAATATGAACATATTCGTGTCTGGCACTCAAATCCTGAGTAACAAGGAAGAAAACTGCATTACAGTAAGAAATGATACTGTGCCTCATGAAGTTTCCAGTTCTGATCTGGTCTCACCTTTTCTTTTCTTTTCTTTTTTGAAAAATAAAATTGAAACACAAGTTTTGTATGCATTCCTAACAATGACTCTAATCTTCTTCCTAGTATTCGTTTTTCAAGCAATTCCATGCATCTGTTACCAAATCCGATTACGAGGCACTAAGGCTAGGTTTCATCATGGTAAGCTATCTATGGAAAACTGGTTTCTCCCGAACGACTTTCTTACGGTTTTGTTGTCATTCCTCGACATAGTCAGTCATCAATACTTGTCATTTATATTTGCAGACCCATTGCAAAGGGAATCCCAAGTTTAATTTTCACAAATACATGATTCGAGCCTTGGAAGATGATTTTAAGGAAGTTGTTGGTATAAGGCAAGTCATGTTTGAGAGTATGTTTCTGAAGATTTATGTTTCGTGGCCTCATTTTTACTTCAAATCGTGCTTGGTATGTTTGGTTTTTTGCAGTTGGTATCTCTGGGCATTCGTGATCATCTTCTTGTTGCTGAATGTTAATGGTATGGAATATCGATTGCTGTGGATCATTCTGTTTTGTTTCAATGGCATGTAATAGATGTTATTTGTTGAGATTGCCAAGCGTTAAAGCTTCATAATGATGGATTTTTTCTCGATTTTCTTCTGCAGGATGGTATACATATTTCTGGATAGCTTTCATTCCTTTCATTGTGAGTAGTTACAATATAGTTTCTTAAACATACATGCACTGAACAAACACATCCATTTACATAAAAACAGGACTGGAAGTTTAATGTCAAATTGAAGAGACTAGAAGTCACTCAACGATTGATTCATGTTCTTGTAAATCTTCCTATATCTGACACATATCCGGATTTGGATACGAGATATGATCCTTTTTTCTCTACTTATTTGTTTTGCTAGCTTCTACTTGCTGTGGGGACGAAGCTCGAGCATGTGATTACCAGTTTGGCTCATGATGTTGCTGAGAAACATGTAGCCATTGAAGGAGAATTAGTGGTAAGACCATCGGATGGATTCTTTTGGTTCGACAATCCTCGTCTGGTTCTCAGGTTGATCCATTTTATCCTCTTCCAAAATGCTTTCGAGATTGCATTTTTCTTTTGGATTTGGGTAAGCTTAAATTTTTGGGTCACAATTCTGCAATATGAACTACAGTGTAAGTAATCCGGATGAACATAATGAAATTTTCTTCATCATATGTAGGTTCAATTAGGGTTCGAATCCTGCCTAATGGGTGAACTTTATTATATCGTTCCAAAGCTTACTATTGGGTAAAATCATTGACCATTTCCTTTAATGTGTGCATTTCTTTTCCGAGTTCCAAACCTTAGATCTTCTGTTGGTTCCTACAGGATGTTCATTCAAGTAGTCTGTAGTTACAGTACGCTGCCACTTTATGCCATCGTCGCACAGGTTAGTCGAGTTTCTGGAATGTTTATTTGAGTTTTCATAATCCGAACTCCGATTTACTTGTTTTCTTTTTACGGAATTGAAGATGGGAAGTTCATTCAACAAGGCAATATTTGATGAAGATGTGCAAGCGAGTCTTCTTGGTTGGGCAAAGAAGGTGAAGAAGAAGCAGGCACTGAAGCTTGCGACTCAAGCAAAGGCCTCGGAACGCCCTCTCATGTCAATGCAGATAGAGGATGATGCTAAATCCGAAGCTTCTACTGCAAAGGAGGATGATCCCGAAAAGGGTTCCAATGAAGCGAAATGAGTGTTGCCGACGGGGTAATAAAGCCGTGCTTCATCGCCAAAAGGTGCTGGTTTTTTGGAACCATTTATCAGGTAAATGACATTGGTTATGTGTTTACCAAGGAATGATTTACATCAAATGTCTGGGTTCAGGAAAGAAAAGAAGATGAAAACTCAGTTACTGTTAGTTCTTATCGTTTTGTTTATCTTTTTATAAAATTGTCATTAATATTATATTTTTTTTTTCATTTTAGTCATCATTCTTAATTAAAAATTAACGATAATACTAATATGCTTCTTTTTAATTTTTAAAGTCATTTTTTCTCCTTATCAGTGGTTCACTTGACATATTAAACAAAAGAACCCTTGCAAAAGACTCCAAACCTTAACTCCTAAGTAAGACAAAAAATACATTAAAATCTCATCAAAATTAACATTTAACTTAAACCCTATGTCACCTTAAAAATAACAAAATTACTACCTAGAAGCATCAAACACAAAATACATTACAAAGGGACCCTTTAACCACTAAGCTAAGTGAAAAATATGTGAACTTTCTATCAAAAATTGTATTTTAGTTAAACTAAATAAGAAAATTATATAACTTGATTCGGTGGTGAAACATCGACCTCTCTTTATTGGTATCTCAAGTTTGATTCTCTCTAGTATCTATTTTTCATAATTTTAAAATGGTATACAATTTAACTTAAATATTTGTTTTGATAGAAATTTAACATATTCCTTGATTGATTCAGTAACTAAGTTTGAGACCCTCTTTGCAAGGGGTCGTATTTGAATTCCTATCAGTAGTAATTTTACATATTTTATAGGTGGTAGAGTTTAACCTTTTTTTTTTATTTAACCTGGTGTAAGAATAATGTAATATTAGTTCAAAGACAATTCTCAATTATTTGACATTAAACGCTCGTGCTCTTAACATTCATGGTGCTAAAACTCAGAACCTCGTGAAATAACAATAAAATTTTTTACCACCGAAAGCACAAAGTTTAACTTAAAAACTAGTTTTGATAGAATGTTAAAACGTTATTTTCGTAGCTCAAAGCCTTAAAGATTAAACTAGGTTTAACACTCTTCTCCGGCGCAACAACAATATTTTTCTTGTAACTCGAGAATCTGGGTCATTATTACTGTTTCGATTTATCATGACTTCATTTACGCGATATGCATGGAAGCTGGACTGAATTTTATCTTAAAATGAACATTGTATCATCAACTCCCTCAAAATTAATTAAAACAATGTCAACAAATTAACAACACAGTGACTTAAAAAGCAAAATTTGAAAGTTTTGAGGTTTAGATTGAAATATTTTAGAATTTGATGAGCAAAATGGCATAATACTAAAATTAACTTCTAATGTTTATCAAAATGATAATTTTGATCTTTACTCTTTTTTTAGTATTGTGACCCTTGACGTTTTATTTTATGACAGAAAGACCTCTAACGTTTGATCGAATAATCACTTTGGACTTATTTTTTTTCTGAAGTATTTTGTCCCTTAATATTTTATTTTAGGATATAACGACTCTTATTTTAGACTGTTAATCATTTGTTAACTAACACTTTTCATTTTTATGTAGTCCTTTTTAGTCCAAAATAAAATAGGGTAAATTTTGTGTTTAGTATCTAAACTATTAGTTTTTGTCCATTTTAGTACTTAAACTTTTTTTAAATCATACCTAATGTTCAATTTTTGTTTCATTTTAGTACCACCGCCGTTAAAAACTTAACAGACAGGTTCACCAACTGCAAAGTCTACAGTCGCCAGCCGTTGCATTCGTCGACCAATGAAGTCCAAACTTTATAGCTCATTCCTTTTCGACGACCTCTGTTTCATAGGAAAACGCCTCAATCTCCCCAAATCGACGAATCGACGATGGGATCTTCGATTTCTTTATCCTCTGATCTCCATAGTCTACCGTCTGATGGAAATGAAACTAAACTATGTTGGTCGACTTGTCATTCTCTCATGATTTACCGTTCGGATTGGTCGTCTATCTACCATAGCTATGCCATGTCAGCTTGTCTGTTAAATTTTTAACAATGAGATAATAATATTAAAAAAATGTTAGGTATGAAAAAAATAAAAGTTTAAGTACTAAAACGTATCAAAACTAATAATTTAAATACTAAACGCATAATTTATCTAATAAAAAATTGAGAAATAAAATAAAATGCTTAGGAAAAAGTCCACTGTCTGATTTCAGAAAAAACATAAGAAGTGTTTGCTTTCGTTTTTATTTAATTAAAATATGATCAATTTCGTTTTTATTTAATTAAGATGCGGTCATAACAGATTAATTGTTGTTAACAATTAACAGAATATGTGACGTGATAGTTAGTATAATCACACATTTGGTCCTTATCATTTACATATTCTCTCAATATAGTCATGCTTCTTACTAAATTTTAACGTATAATATATACTTTTAAATGACAAAATAAATACATCGTGTTGTCTGCTTTACACCAAGCAATGGTTTTGGCTTAATGGTTGGAAACATGTTTAGTTTCTTAAGTGACCAAGATTTGAATCTTTTTTTGCCTTAATTTACTTTCCTTTTCTTTCAACCTGAGGGTGACACATGTCACTCTTTGATTGGTGAAAATAAATATATTCAATTAAAATAAAGTTAGTCCTTCAACCAAATGTGCCACATGGCATGACATGTGACATCATTCGATTGGAGGATTAAATTTATTTTAATTTATTAAAAGTATGACTAAATTAAAAATATATGCAGATAATAGAGACCAAATATGTGATTATATTAAAATATTTAACTGTTATTAACAACAGTTAACTTGGGATGACACATCTTAATTAAATAAAAGCAAAAATGATTATATCTTATGTTTTTTAAAATCATTGATTAAAAGTGAATAAAACACAAACATAAGTGATAATTTGTTAGTTAACCCTTAAATTATTATGCACAAAATTAAAGGGTTGATTCATTTGGACCCAAACTGATCAAGTATCCCGAAAAATACCATCTTGTTCATATATAAGCATTTCTCAAATCTGAAACCCTGTTAAACCTTAAATCCCAAAATGCTTCACTACTAAGCTTTTGGGTAGATTTAATCAACCCATTAAACCTTATCTTCTTCCCACTTCGAAACTTTTTTCTTTGGAATGAAAAATGACAATTCATTCGGTTGTGATCTTGATGTGAACCGATTCAGCATCATATTCATCCTTGCATCTCCAACCATTCATAAGATTTAAAGGGGGACTTTCTCTAACTTATTATTTTCTTACACTATGATAATGATGATTATATTCATAATACATGACTCATATCTCATTTATGACATAGATATATTTATATACATATATTACATCTATAGCTATGATGATAACATTTCATTCATTATTATGTTATGCATGAAGTTATTAGTATATAGCCTTAGCCCACATATTTATATTCAATATTTATTACTTTAAATACTTAACTAATATTGTGTTTTGTTTTAAAGGTGCATTCGGCCACACTTAAGGGAGCTGATTTGAGCTAAATGATGAAAGCTACAACAAGGACCGCTCAATAATTTCTTTTTCAAGACTCGTCTTCCAACTGAAGCATGAATGGTATGTTTCTCAAAGTAAGCTCTTTTTGTTTTCATCTTTTGACCCTGTCACTCTAAGTGGTGATGCTCTCCTTCAGGGTCTTCTTGATCTGAACCTTGTTATCTCAACATGATCTGGGTCTTTGGTCATGCCCCAATCCGAGACCATCGATAGTCAACATTTGATTTTGAATAATTTGATCCTAATACCATTTGTCAACGACCACAAGCTATCATCTTGAGCAAATAGAAGTGTTTCCGCTTGTTTTCCTTGTTCTTGTCAAAGTTTATGGACCTTTCCTTTCTATGAGATCTTAAAAACAGATGGACATTTAATAAGTGACCAATTTTTCCTTAACATGAATTGAGATACCAGGAAATCTCGAGGTAAGTCGTGCCCCTTCTTGTTCAGTCTATTGTCTCATTGCTTCCTCATTACTCATTTCTTGGCTTTGATTTTTGTTTATAAGCCTCGTCAAGTTCAAGGACCTCTTTCTCGAGGGGTTGTCTTGTTTGAAAATGTTTTTCTCATTTCTTTTATTTTAGAAATCAAAGAACGAAAGAATTTTGTAAAGTATTACCCCTTAATTCAGGCTTGAAATTGAAGCAAATCATAAACATGAGTTTACAGAATATCAAAAAAATTAATTGTTCTCTAAATTTCCATAGTTATACTCATTTGACAATTGTTAGGACTGGTGGGTTAACTTCAGGTTGGCTTCATATTTTCTAGGGTTTTAGCCATCAAGATACCCTCATTTGTTTATATACCTATGTGAACCTTATGACATGTCCCTCTTTCTCGGTTTGACATATTAAGTGGATGCAGACAAAATAAAGCAACTATCATATTGAATTGTTAGACTTTTTAGAACACTTTTGTTTCAGTTCTCTAAAATCTTTCATTTGTTCAAGTTTTACAAACTCCTTCAATAGAGGCAATGTCGAAAATATCAGTCTAAATATAAAATTCTTAAGTGCTTGTGTAAGATCAACTATAATAGGTGTTCATCAACTCCCTTATTTTATTTTTACAGAAACTCCTTATTTAGTAAATTTAATTTAATTTGCCATTGTTTGGCTAGCTGAATTCAGCTTTATTGTATATATATATATATATATATATTATAACCGCCTTTATCGGGCTAGCTGAATTTATTCATAAGGCCGAGACATTTAACCAATTGCTTTAGAGGAACATCTCAATCTTTATTTTATAAGTATATAATTACGTTCATGGGTATATAGATTCAATTTTTTAAGCTCGTCGAGGAGAACCTGTTATAGTTTGGGTGTCGTTGAATGTTAGGAAATCTCATCTTTAGAGTTCAATTCTCAAGCAGCTGACCAAAACTAATTCATCTACTCAACTATTTCATCTGAATAGATTAGAATCATCATCGATCTTCATCAATAGAAGTATAAACCAG